CCTCAATTTCTTCTCTTTTCACGGTCTAACAAGAATGAATTCTAATTTCCTTAGAAATCCCTTTTTGTTAAACCTAATTTTGGGCCTATAAATTGGGCTTTTTCAATATTACCCTCACTAACTCCTCCTTAATTGTCCAGTTTGCCCTTAGTTAACTTATATTTATTTAAATTAATAATAATACAAATATATTCATATTATATATTATTATTTTAATAAATAACTTAAAATCCATAATTCTCCATATTTCACACCAACCACCAAAAATTACCAAAATGCAAATATTCATATTTAGATAAATTAAATAAATATTCCAATAAATTTGGGGTGTTAGAACAACCAAGGATAGATTTTAGGAGTCAAAGGAAAGAAAAAGGCTAGAAACTGCTAAAAGAGAAAAAAAGAGAAACAATAACTGCATTCCTAGGGCAGACGTGGTAACATTTTATGTTAGAAGGATGATTTATTTGAAAGGATAATATCAAAGATGCTAGAAGACAAAATATAGTACCTAGTACACCCACTACGTGTGCCATGCAAGGAAAAGTACAAGTGTCACTTGCACCACTATACTTGCATTCTGCTATGCTACAACTTGTCCCCACCATTGTCTGTACCTGATTTTCATGTTGTACGAAGGAAAATAAAAAGAGGAAACTTTTCTAATTTTGTATTGGGTATGATTTGATTTACTCTAAATCCCATGATCCAATGCAAATGGTAAAATCCCTAGCGCAATCCCCTATAAAAGTAACTCTTGAAGACTGATGAAAGAGATTAACATCTGTTAAAAACATTTCTCGTAGAAGAATCATTGAGGAAAATAGTTGAGTGAAAATGGAGATTCTTCTTCTCACCATCTCCAGTGCTGACTGTTGTATCCTGGTATGATAGAAAATTTCTCTTGTTGATTAACCATTGCAAGTAGACACCAACATTGCTTTTAGGTTGTTATTTCTTTTCTACTTTATATTAGAGAATGATTAGCTTAAGAATCAATATTGTAGTTTGTACTCGGCTCATCATGAGCTAAAGTCTTGTTTGTTGAGCAATGAAAAGTTGGTATAATATAGTTTTTATGTTAAGTGATATGTTGTTAATGCATTGTTTTATCATGTGTTATTATGTTATAAATAATTTTTTATTTATTTATCAACCTGGAAAATGATAAAAGTTTGATGTTGTGAAAGATCAAACAATAAACAAAATTCATGATAAAAGTGGTCAAAAATAGTAGAATAGAGATCTTCACTAGAATAACTTCTTAGAGATAAGTAACTACAACCATAAAAGACTTTCAGAGTAAAAAGAAACATGCTTTAGGGTTACAAGTGAGGTTTATAGATTTGTCCCCTTGCTCTAAAGTATATGTTTTTAATGTTGTAGAGATACATATTTATATCACTCTCTGACCTTTCCTAGCACGACACAATACATCATAAACACACAAATAACTATATTGTAATAATGGATCATTGCCCAACATACTCTTCATTATTGAACTCAAAACATCTTTTTAGCACCGTTATGCACTTGTTTAATAACCGAACTTGTGAAAATCATATATTATTTTTATTTTTCTCATGCTTATTTATTAAAAGATAGTTTCTTGCAAAAAAATCAACCTAATTTACTTTCCACACCCCGTGGGTACAATATCCTCACTTTTTATCACTTGCTACTTTAAAATACACATGTATACTTGCATGTGACACACGTTTTCAAACAATATGAAGCAAAAAAGAAAGTCTAATGTTGAAGCTTTGAAGATTTAATACTTTGGTCGAAGATGAATACTCTTGGAAAGGTTCTCTTAGAGAAGACAGAAAGACTCAAAGGAAATCAGGGAAATTCAATCCAATAATTTGCAAAAAAATTCCCCAAATTTCCCCCATCCTTATATAGGAAAAGATGATTGAGAGAATCAGATTGAAAGTAAGAAGCAAATTCATATCCACAACCATATTTCATCTTGGGAATACAACCAGACTCAAAAGAACAAGTGCACGGTGAGCAGCGTCACACCACTCTCTACCTTTTCAAGTCACACGTCATGAGAAAAAAATGGTGAAACGTTTCAATGATGAGACTACATTTAATGCCCATGTACTTTATTACTCTTTGGTAACACCAAATAAATCCAAGTCTGCTAAATCACAAACATTCATTCTTGACAGACGAACACGAGTGCTAAAAAGACTCCCCCGACATCCAGAGTGCCCGATGAGTCTTGGGGGAAACTGTTCCATGTTGGAAAAACAAGACGCACTTATTCTTCTTTCTCTATTAATCCCAAGGTATAAATACCTTCACAAAAGGTTTCCTGGTACACAATCTCTAATCTTCATTCTCACTACGATTATCTTAAACCCTAAACTGACTTGGGCGTTGAAGTTCTAACCATGCAGGTATCCCTCCCTTTGTCCACCTTATCAGAGATTAAAATTTCTGGATCAAGATTAATATTTATCAATTCAAGAAGCATCATGATTGAAACCTCCGACCTAAGGTGTCGCATCACTGAATCGCTTAGGAAGCTTCACTCCACTGTAGTTTCTGCAACCTCATACATTTTTGGTACCGGAATGAAACGACAACTGAGAGGCATTTGATGGATCTTATCAGGAGATTTTGTCTAACTTTCATATTATTATGGAAACCCGTAGAGCTTTTGCGAAGACACAATTATTTTGGAATAAAATAAATTACATAGAGGTCGCTATAGCTAAAGCCAAGGGACTGTCTAGGGGATTGTGGATCATCAAACACAATGGTTGCAACATTAGTACTATGGTATTGGATGTTTATAGGGATACAATTAGTGTTTGGTTAGATAATGGAAATGAGTATTGAATTCTTACCAGGTTGTATGCCAATTTTACTTACTATACTAGATTGTAATTGTGGCAATATCTCTCTTCTATTGAAGTAATTACCACTAACCTGTAGTTGATAATTGGAGATTTCAATGAAATTACCCTCCCTAGTGAGCAAAAGGGAGGCACATTTAGTAGAGTTATAGTTGATGCATTGATAAACACTATGGATGCATGTAATCTAGATGTAAGAACTGTTGAAGCTACTTTCACCTGGTTTGGAAACTGTGTCGAGCTTATAAGAGTTCCGAAGAAGTTTGACCAGGGTGTTTCAAATTTGCCTTGGCGCCCATTCTTTATGGAGGCTTACATCAAAGTGATTTTTAGGCTTCATTAGGACCATAATCCCCTTATATTGAGATGTGGGGGATTGGCTTCCTTTAATGGTCTGAAACCTTTTCACTTTGAACCCGCTTGGATTACGCATCCAGACTACCAACATATGGTTCAGACTGCCGACAGAAAATGGCTCATTGCCTAATAGCAGGTCTAAACCAGGTAAAATACGACTATTTTATTTTCAATTATGAGGTGTTTGGTAACGTTAAAAAGAATAATTAAAGGCATTCAACTATCCTTTGAGATAATAGATTATGCCAAAATTGTTTATTTGGAGCGAAAGTTACAATAACAATATGATAAAATTCTATTCTAGGGAGAATTTCATTGGTACCAGAAATCAAGAGATAATTGGATCAAGTTATGGAATATGAATACCAAATATTTTCATGCCCAAACTATCATAAAGAGGAAACATAACATGATTCATGGGTTCCATCTTCTAGATGGTATATGGTGCACTGATGATGCAATTTATGCTGATTTTCTTTTAGTTGCCTTTTCTTTTGCTTTTCTCTTACCCTACCAAAAATGAGGTGCTTCAGATAGCTATTGCCTAAATTGTACTGATATAAATGAGACTATTTTGCACTAATATGAGATTTTGTTTTTGCTAGACATGTTTGGCTTTACGTCGATTTTGATGGCATTAATTTTTTCACCCTTAATAACTAGGTGGGATGACTTTGAACAGGAATTAGGCTGACAAGTTTCACATGTTCCTGACTACTTGTTGGTGGCTTTGGAGGGCAAGGAACTAACTATGTATGGATAATGAGAATGTCTCTATTTGTCATCTTAAGTTGCAGTTTTTCAAGTTTTCGAAGACTTTATTGGATGCATTTCCATCTCGAGACGTTGTAGTAGCGAATGAAAGATGGATTTCTTGGCATGCAATGACAGGGACAACTATGGTTCTCAATGTATATGGCAGTAGTCAGGGAAACCCTGGTCCATTTAGGTTCGGGGGTGTGATTAGGCAACCAGATAGTTCTTGGTTAACTGATTTCGTCGGTAGTATTGGTGCTTCCACATTCTTCACATAGAACTCCTTGCTTTATACCATGGACTCATATTAGCATGAGACAAAGGGATGTGAGATTTAGTTTATTATCCTAATTATATTCTCGCTATTCATTTATTAAAGGCAGAAGTTAATCATAAACACAATTTTTTATTTTTTATTTCAAATGCTAAGGAGTTATTGGAGAGAGAATGACGAATCTTACTTACACATTCTTAGAGAAACGCAAATGTTGCAGCCGATTGTTTAGCAAAGATTTAGACTATAAGATCGGTTCTTTGACTATAATTTTGTACTCTGTCTGACGAGTTACTTTCTATTTTACAGCAAGATGTGCCTCAATTTTTTTTTGTTGATTTTTAATTGCCTTTTTCTTTTCTTTTCTCTTTCTCAGTAAAAAAATAAAAAAATATAGTTTATTTTTTTTTCATGTAGTTTAGTGACTAGAAATCTAAATTTAATTAAACTCACATCTCTTACTTTTAATGTACTTACACCGATAGCAATTGAGTTGGTTTAAGAGGCTAAAAAGATAGGATATTTAAAAAATTTTAAAATGTTATTTTTAGCATTTTAAAAATTAATGTTATACCAATGATTAATTTTCCATTTTAAATTGTGACTGCATAGGTCACAAAATAAAAGCAAAAAATAAGTGTTGGCTTAATAATCATGAAAATCATATTGGAGTAGCAGAGCAGCACTGAACTCAAGAACCAACTGCCCAACGCACCGCGCCCCTATTCTCCGATTCACAACCTAGTAACTTCCGCCTTCACTTTTTACTAATTTCTACTCTAATCATCATCAACAAACCTTTCTTTTTAACTTCAAATTTCTGTAAAAATTTTGATATTTCCTTATTGGGTATATCAACATTTTTGTAATTTTGTGAATTTGTAATTTTTTTGGGTATTTATTGCTGGATTATTAATTCAAAGTGAGATTTTTAGGGTTCTCTGTTTCTTTTTCAATTAAAAGTTTATTGTCTTATGGTTTTCCACTTTCAAAATTTTGTTATAAGGTTGTATAAGTGTTTGTGAAAAGTTTTTTTGTTTTGACACAAGGTGTTTGTGAAAAGTTAAACTACAGATCTTGCGATAAAGTTGATATACAGTAACTAACTTTAACTTATACAACAAACTATTGCTTTTAAAACTCCTAGTTACTGGAAGATTCTTCGAATATTTATTTTTTCTGAATTGTTTTTTTTTTTTTTGAGAAGTTGATTATGTGACATGTCTATGGTTGTTCTTATCAGTGAATTATAGGAACCAAGAAAGAGAAACTGACTCAGGATGTGTATCCAAGTTAGTTTATTCTCGCCGGAGAAAGAAAACGGAGATCATGAAAGAGGTGATAGAAATTGACCCCAAAGGTTAGGTTTATATTATGGTGTTTCATAAAGTTTATGTCTTTTGATAAGTTAATTAAAACCTGGACATTGATATCTATTGGGAGGTAATCAGAGAAGTTGATTATGTCTGTCATTGTTCTTATCAGTCGATTTTGCGAATCAGGAAGGAGAAATTGACTCGAGACATGTAGATGCAATAGGAAGTGTTGATTCAATTTTTCCATTTAATTCAAAGAGTATTCCTCGGCGACCGCGGACAAAATGCAAGCGAAAATTCAAAGGCAATGAAGCTCTCTCTAGATCCAAGGAAAAGCTAAACAGTCAAGTCTTTGATAATTACTTAGCGTGAGTTACAGTCTAATGATTCACTGTCCAATGATTTGTGATGAAAAAGAAACAACTTGACATCAAAATCACAGGCTTGTTTCTAAATATATTTATAACTTATCTGACAGGAAAATATGGAAGAGTTTCTCAGAAGATAGGAAAATGTCATTTGCATATTTGGACAGTTTATGGTTTAGCCTTTACAGGAATCCTTTGTCTAAAGATAAGGTGCTGAGTTGGATTAATAAAGAACGCATTTTCACGAAAGCATATGTTTTTGTGCCTATAGTCTGCTGGTAAACACGTTCAAATTCTTTTAATGTCTATGAGTCTTTTATTTGTTAAATGACAATCTATTGAGTTTATCCTTTGAAATCACAATTTTGCAGGGGTCATTGGAACCTCTTGATCTTCTGCCATTTTGGTGAGAACGTGCGATCTGTTACTGAATCACGTTGTATGTTGTTACTGGATTCTCTTGAAATGGCGAATCCAAGGCGGCTTGAACCAGAGATAAGAAGGTGTGCCTCATTCAACATATCTACTTATTTTGATCGGACATTTGTATCCTGTCAAAAAGTATTTAAAATTTACCGGCTTTTATCTTCATATGTAGATTTGTACAAGACATTTATAAAGCAGGGGACAGGCCGGAGACTAAGCATCTGATATCTCAAATCCCATTATTAGTGCCCAAAGTGATAATAATGAGTCCTTTTTATGATTTTCACCTTTGTGTAATCCAATCAACAAAGGTTAAATGAAGACTAATTACTACTATATTGCAGGTGCCGCAACAAAAAGATGGTACTGAATGTGGAAACTTCGTCCTTTATTTCATTAAATTGTTTTTGGAACTCGCACCAGATAAATTTAGCATGGAAGGGTACCCTTACTTTGTAAGTTTTCTCTTGAGGTGTTTTTGAAAATTATTTATGAAATCACACATTTCGATTTAATTTTGTTTTCCATTGGCATGATGCAGATGAAAAAAGACTGGTTTACATTCAAAGAATTGGATCGTTTTTGTGAGAGCTTGACGCATTGATCTGAATGTCCCCAAATTTGAGTAGACTGAAACTATACACTAATATATATAATACAGCATTGTGGATTGTTTTATTTTACATGCATGGTAAGGGAGAATTTGTTCATAGAAGGCAGACATATCCAGATGATTTATCCGGAAGAGAGTGCTACTACAAAATGAGAATTTCATTAGGAAATTGATGTTTAAAATACTAGTTGGCTTCTATTGATGCAATTGCTTGACATTTTTATGCTGTTTTCAGATTGATAGGAGCAGTATATATAGTTTTGTTTGTAAAAATTGTTACTCATTATTAGTAATATTGTGTGTGTTCATTGAGGATATTATGAAATAAGGATCTTAGTTTTAAAATGGCAAACATAATTTGTTCATGTGTTACCAGATTTGTATTGGGCAAACAAGTTTCATACGCCAGATTTGCGTTACCAGAAATGTAAATTGTATGTTATGACAATTTAATTTTTTTAGAATATCATGAAGTTGGCCAAAACCAAAAAAAAATAAAAATTCTTTTACTTAGCACGTTGAATAGAATCAATGTTATCACAAATGCGCTTGAAGTAGCAGTCAGATGAAGCAACTGCAAATGAAGAAAATTAACCTGTAAACCACCATTTTTTTATGATGTGTTTTGGTTAAATTTAGTGAAACCGTTTAAGAAACCTAATCATGAAACGAGTATTCTAATTTTTGTTGTTGCATTAAGCCTATCTATTTTTCTTGTCAAAGATTCAATATTACTTTCATTCAATAGGCTAAAAGGCACAGACAGTACTCAAAGAGAGCGTTCGGATCCTAAAATCCAAAAAAAATAAAAAATAAAGTTATCTAACAAACAAACATAAGTTATAAGTGAGACTAGGTTGAATTTTTTATCAACTAAATTGAAAAATGAGTCGAGTCGAACTCATCTTATTTTAATTTGATTAGTAAAAAATTAATTCAGTTTAAATTTCAATTCGAGTTCAACACGAAATTTTTTTCAATTTCAAATTCGACTCGTTAAAAATTCACAAATAATTCAATTCTTCTTACTAAATTAACCTCATTTATTTCACGGACTTAAAGTCTATTTTATTTTTATATATTTGATATTTTAAAAAGAAAATATTGAGATAAAATTAAAGTTACGAGTATGAAATTTAAATTTGTTTTAAAAAATATACTAATTCAAAAACTCCATAAATATATTTGAAAGTCTAATTAAAAAAAACTCAAAATTTAAATTTAATTTTACTCAAAAATCCATAACTTCATCAAATATTTAAAAAACTTACAAATTTAATGAAATGAAAAAATACACACACAATATTACTATAAATGAATATATTTTCACCACAGAATGATTACATTACTTACAACTTTTATTACACGTGGTTTTTTAACAAATGTCATAATGTCTCCAACAAGATTAATTATAAATGCAATCAGATTATTTTCATAACTTATCTTAAACAAATAATCTCATAAAACTTATGCTAATAAGTAAATTAAAATAAGTCAATGTAAACAAACTTTTAGTCTCATTAATTTTTTAGTTTGTTAGTCTATTTAAAATAACAGTTTTTATGTAGGCTAACAGACTAATCAGATCTTAGAAAAAGTCTGACTCAGACTTAAAAATAATAAGTCTAGACTTAGACTTCAATTTTTTGACAAGTCAGACTTGGATTTGACAAAACTTAACTCGGTTTACCCTATTTTCCCCCTACTTGCAACCCTTAATGAACACATTATATCATCTATAAAAACAACAATTGAACAAGAACTGAAAACTGGAAAACTGGAGAACACCTCACATTTAATAGCAAAAACGTAAGAATGTAAAATTAAACTTCGAATGAATTTGGGATAACTATATGAACATTGGTGTCGTGCTAACTGTTAAATCTAGATGCCTAAAATATATACAATTTTAAATTAAATGACAAAATGGACTGGAACAAAAGTTAAATAAAAAAGGACACCGAGTAGTAAGTAGAATGCATATGCTGGGCTAAACAAATGAAGCCATTCAGAATAACCAATAGTATCACTAACTCCCATTTAAATAGGGGATTTTAACGGTCATTTTGGATGCATCAGAACGAAGAGTAGGACTTGCCCTGAACGAATTTCTTGCCGATTCCAGTGCTCTGGAAGTTTGAAGAGCCATCTCAGCATGTAGTTGTAAACATGTCATGGCCATCTATAGTAAAAAAAAGAAAACATTAAGTATTTAACCATATGACTTGTTCTTATCTTAGAATTTCACACTTGGCTATTTGTACTCTACTCTAGAGCCATCCAACCAAACCCACTCCTATCATGATATATATGCTTTTAAGCTAACTATAGCTATTTTTTAAACCATGTCACCATTGAATAACTGGAGACCAGTGCATAAAAAAGTTAAAGTGCTAGCAGAAATAATTCAAAAGCTTGTATGAAAATAGAGATTAGATTTGAAGCTTTAAATTTCCTTTTCTTACCGTATAGCATTCTTTATCTGTGTCTGAATCAGCTACATCAAGGGCCCATGTGCGAATCCATTCAAGTCCATTGGAAATTTCAACATTTCCTTCCAGTAAGGCAGATGATACGTAGGAAGGATGAAGGGCAACCAATACGCATGCAGCTGCAAAAAGGACGGCTTTTCTCACATATGCTTCCTGGTGACGGCATACCTCTCTGCATGAGTTAAAATGTAAAAAACATGTTTTACTGCATTAGTACACTAGCCACATAAAAAGTGCCAACAGGAAACATAAACACAAAAACCCAATAAAACGCCAAACTATCAATTCTATCACCACCACACACAGACATGTTTTTAAGGGTAATAGTGAGGTTTTTGATAGTGTCAGTCCTAATAGGGTTTTCAATTAAATAGACATATAATGTCTTGACCAGTACCTGGATCTTAACATATCCAGAAGGGAAGGAGCCAGCACAGACGCCTCTGGATGCATGGCTGCAGATTTCATACAAACCCCAAGCATATAAATGAGTTTCCCCAAGACAATAAAATCCCTACCAAGAAGGTCAACACCGTGTCTTTTTTTATCATAACCCTCCATCGCAGGAAGCATGAATGCAGCAGCATACATGGGAAACTTGTTATGAGAACACTCCATCATATTTTGTTCGGAGGAAGGCGGTCTCAGGCTCCAACGTCGTGTTTTCCCTTTCTTGACCTGATAAGGTTTCGAGGGTAGTTCCCTCTCGTAGCTGTTTGACCAATTCAAAAAAGTGCCAGTACCTGAAATCTCTTTCCAGGAACCAGCTCCAGGAGTCCCTGTGCTGCTAGGCAAGAACCAAGGTCGGGTATCTGAAACAACTGATACAAGAGAACTAGTCTTGTGTTTAGGTTTAGTAATTTTTGATTCAGCAAGCTCCTGAGCTGCTTCTGTCATGACATCCAGTATCATTATGCGTTGACTAATATCTACATTAGGTGAATACAAAAGATTGTGCAGTGTGTCGAGTGACTCGAATGGACACGTGACTGCCAAGGAAACTAATGCTCTCTGCCTTTTGTCTTCCGTAGATTCTTCTTCGCCTTCTAAAGCTATATCACAGCAACGGACCTGAACAAGAGTTCTTGTAAGATCCCTTGCAGCGTGTTTTAGTTCATCTGGGGAGGCTCTTATGAGCTTTTCCACCACATCAAGAGCGCTTTCCACCTGCAACAAAGGTAAAAAGTTTACAAAGCATCAAACTTTTAGCAAAAAAGAAGGATATCAAGGAACTTCTGCCAAAGGCAGGAAGCATCAGGCCGGTCAGGACCCTTAAGTTGTAGCGATTGTTGGAAAACTTTATTAATAATAGCCAATTAAACTTTTAGCATGACACGACATATCACATTTAGTGTAGACAAGACAGATAATCAAAATTAGAGGTGGCAATTAAATCCATTAAGGCAAAATCCATCCAATCCATCCATCAAAAAATTCATCCAATCCATCCACCACACAAAAAATAAGTTAATGGATTGGATTAAATCCATCCATTTATATGAATGGATGGATTAAATCCATCCAACATATTTTAAGGATCCAATGGATTATTTTTATTTTCGTTAGATTAATTTTTTTAAAATTAGATTTTTTTAAAATAATTTAAAAACTATATTTTTTTTTTCTGAAAAAAAAAATTTAATTTTTTTGAAAAAAATCTGTTTTTTTTTCAGAACAAAAAACTGATTTGTTTTTCGAAAAAAAAAACCGACTTTTTTTTTTGGAAAAAAAATCAGTTTTTTTTTTCAGAATAAAAAACTGATTTGTTTTTCGAAAAAAATAATAAATTTTTTTCTCGAAAAAAAAGCCGACTTTTTTTTTTGGAAAAAAATCGGTTTTTTTTCAGAATAAAAAACTAATTTGTTTTTCGAAAAAAAACCGATTTTTTTTTTTGGAAAAAAATCAATTTTTTTTCTGAAAAAAATCGGTTTTTTTTTCAGAATAAAAAACTGATTTGTTTTTCGAAAAAAAAATTTTGAAAAAAAAACCAACTTTCTTTTTGGAAAAAAAATCAATTTTTTTTTCTGAAAAATCGGTTTTTTTTTCAGAATAAAAAACTGATTTGTTTTTCGAAAAAAAATAAAATTTTTTCTCGAAAAAAAAAACGACTTTTTTTTTAGAAAAAAAATCGGTTTTTTTTTCAGAATAAAAAACTAATTTGTTTTTGAAAAAAAAAATATTTTTACGAAATTAAAAAAAAAGTTGGATGGATGGATATCCATCCATTAAAAATATGTTAATGGATGGATTGGATGGATTTTATTTTTAATGGATGGATCGGATTGGATAATTTTAATAAAATTTTAGTGGATTTTAATAGACTAATGGATTGTTTTAATCCATCCATTAGCAATCCAATCCATATCCATCCAATCCATCCATTTTGCCACCCCTAATCAAAATGCATCTACAAGGTGCTATGATAAGAAAAAAGACAAACCCCGTCAGCATCGTCGGATTTTCTAAGAGCCGCAACTACATCTGACAACTGTGAAAGTT